GGAAATTATCAAGAAACAGCTTGATAATTTGTTACATCAGGTATCGTCAAGATCGAACAATCATTGTTTATGGAAAATAAAAGAAGAAGAAAACACAAAATTTATTGATATTTTATCCTGGTCATACATTGATGATGGTATAGAATACATATTATATAATAATCTTCCAAAAGCAATTGAAATTGTTAATGCATGTTTGAAATTTGATGATCAAGATTTCGGTAAACTATTTATGAACGTTAAATATCGAAGAATATTTCTGATAATTACAAAATTATCATTACATTTATTATCAAATTTAAATAATTCAAAATTTTTGGAATATGATCACTTATACAATATTGGGTTATTAACTATCAAAACTATACATAATAAATATATTTATGACGGTATGAAAGAGGAATTTTATGATGAATTTTTTCGATATGGATTTGAATCAAATAATTTAATACAACATCTTTTACAACTTATTCAAAATGTAACTAATTCACAGAGGTGGCGCGACCGAGGGAGTGTCGGAGGTGTAACACGCCCCGAATCTTCGAAAATTTCTATTTTTTGCTCAAGAAAAGCAACAAATTTTCTTAGGTTTTTCACCAAAGATAATGCTACACGCCCCAAAAACTCAAAAAACTTCGTTACACCCCCCCACTGTTGGCTGCCTCACGCCACCCCTGCTGATTCATTCTTAATTCAAACTAGTTGTTTATGGTTAGATATCGTTGTTCATTACCAACATGTTGTCAGAAAGCAATACAACGACTTAGATTATAGCTGTTTTGAGCCAAGAAAAATCATATCAGAATGTATTATTGGACAAATAGATAATCTACCAAATAATTTAAGATTACGTGGATCATTTTTATTTTATTTAACATATATACCATATAATCATATACATAAGTATAAAAAACTTGCATCGATGTGTCGTCAATATATTATTTCACAAACGAAAGATTTAAATAAATGGACATCAGATATAACACATTGTATTATGGGGAGTGTTTGTTTTATTACAAAACATTTTTCTGAACTCTTTAAATATGATGAAATATACTATCAATCGTTATTACTTATTATGTCTTATGAAAACTTTCATAAAGCATTAGTATCAACATGGACAAATGACGAAACAATTTTAATTGATACAATTACTGAATATTTCTATGAGAATCTTGATGATAATGATGAAAAAATGAGAATTACATTTGGTACTGCCATTGATAAACTTCAGAAATTACATGGAAATATTAAGAATAATTTAATAAAAATAAATATATGTTATTTAATTCTTGTATCAACACATGAGGAAAGTCATGTTTCTGATGAAATTATATTAGAATTTTTTCAATACATTAAAAGTCAACGTCAAACGCCATGGAATGGAAATTTCGACCAAAAAAAAGCGGAGAAATTATTACTAGCATTTAAGAAAGCATGTCAATATGAATCAATTAAAGATGAAATTATTAGGCTAGATAAGATCAATGAATTAATTGATTTAATTGAATCTAATTTTGATATTATATATGAAATTCTTGCGCTTCTATGGACGAAACCAAGTGCTAAAAAAATATTAGAAACAAGTTATAAGTTTATGAACTATATTGAATACCAAGTGGTGACAAAACGTAGGTATTCTTTACAAATTTTAAAACAAGACAACGATTATATGATTTCTTTAGATCAGGTACAGTCCAAGGTTCGTGATTATTGCGAACTCGCATCACCAATGAAACTTCGTTCTTCCCTTAAGACGCAAGTTGTACTAAGCTGTAGCAATACCGAGCTTGCCAAGCATGTAAAATATCATTTAGAAAAAGTTCATCACAATGTATTAATTTTAAACGAATGCAATAATGATATGGATAAAAAAAACCTAATCTCAACATGTGAATGTATGATTGTTTGTTTAACTGATGATTACACTGAATGTCAATCAGAATTAATTCTTGCTTATAAAAATCAAGTAGAAATTATACCAGTTGTAATTGAAAATGAAAAGAAATATTGTCCAAATGAACCTTTTTTGAAGTTTATTCTTGAAAAATATTCATCATCAGTAATTCATAAAAATATTAATGAGTTGGACGATTCATTAGCAAATGAAATTGAAAATATTGAATATACACAAAAACGTGCCTTATTTAATCCTGCCAGGGTAAACAACAACTGGAGCGATCAAATTCTACAACCAGTTGTAAGTGATATTTTACATACAACAAAACAGACATACACTTTTCACTTTTGGTCTTAGGCATATACTTACACTGCTGAGGATTTGTATAAATCATGTAAAGAAAATGACATTAATAAAGTGAAAGAATATCTTCAAAATATCAACATTAAGATTTTAAATGAACGTTTAGAGAATAGAAGCACCGCATTGCATATCGCATGTTACAATGGTCATAATGAAATTGTTCAATTACTTCTTAAAGCAGGTGCATCACGATCTATACGTAATTGGCCACATGATTTAACAGCCTATGAAGAAGCTCGAACACAAACTACAAAGGATTTGTTTCGAATGAATTTATATGACAATGAACAGAAGCGTTTTTTCGGTAATGATATTTATATTGAATGGACGACTATTTCTCGAAATCCTCACAGAAAACGAGATTATCTTCGAAAAAAGTTGCACCAATTATATATATATAGAAATTATGGGATGTACGGCTTTTATGGAGAACTGGTAGAACATATGTATGCTTATATTGATACATTAACTCTTTCAAAGCATATCAAACAAATTTTAAAACAATATTTCACACAAATGGAAGAAACGCGCGATCCAATTTATATTATCAAAGTCTATACAAGTACAACTGGTTTTCATAAATATTACAATGAATATATTGCTCAACATGGTATTGATTTCTTTGATCCATTCAGTGTAGATATTCATGTGGATTATGCTATTATTAAGTCGCTTATGAAAACTATTGCTATAATTATGTATGATAAAACTTTTTCGAAATATCGATATTGTGGAAAAACATATCGTGGAATGTTACTAACTCAAGAAAATTTAGAAAAATATATTGTGCATTCAAAAATAATGAATAAATCATTTTTATCAACATCAAAATCCAAAGAAATTGCGGAAGCATTTAGTGGTTGTGAACAAGACAAATTTCTTAGAAAAACACCTGATAAACAAGCAATTCACATTTGTGTACTTTGTACTTATACTATTAAAAATTCTGAAACGGCTTTAAATATTGAAACAATATCAGAACTAATGTTGGATGAAGAAGAAGTTTTAATATTACCATTTTCAATATTTCAAGTTAAAAGCGTGCAAAAATCATTAACGAATATAGTTCAAATTGAATTAGAAGAAGTTTCTGACGAATTACTTGACAATTATTATTAAATATATTTCAATAATAAAACTTTTAATAAAACAAATATTTCTTTATTATTTTTTTCATAACGAGAACTAGAATGATTGTCGATTAGAAGAGAAGATTTAGATATTCTTCATAAACCAGCAGTACAATAATCTTTATCTGGTTTTGTGAAGTTAAAGTTTATTCCAAAAAATGATATTAATGACAAAAAGTAACGCGGCGCAACACCGAATCTACTTGAATTCTCGGCGTTTATTGACATATACATAGAGTACTCAAGTATCTATATAATGATGAAAACTGCAGCTCTCTAGCTCTTTATGTTCTCGAGTTATTGTAAAAATATACGAGTTCACTATTTTTTTAAACAGACAGTAATTATCGAATAATCAGTTTGTTTTTCATCTATTCATAACCTTTTTTTACTATCCAAAAATTCATTGAATTTTCGACAATTTATTTAAAAGATTTCAGAGAGACAAATAGAAAATTATTTTTAAAATAAAGATTAAAGTGGTTCATTTATTTGACTTCAGACTTCTTTTTGCAATTTAATTTGAGGATAAAACTTTTGATAATAAGACGTTTTTTCCATGCAAATAACAATAATGATAGAATCATAATAACTGCAAAAACTAAAAATAATCCAGCCAATGATTGAATATTCATTGCAGTAGATGTAGTTGTTGAAGAAGTAGGACAAAGTTGTGTTTGAAACCATTTTGTTTGTAAATTATTAAGATCACCTGATACAGACAATGTTAATATAGCAATATCTAAACTTTCTTGATAAATCCATTATTCAGGTGTAGCAATAGCATATATACCTTGATTAAAAGTTTCACCAACTACAGTTATATTACAATAAACATTATACTAGTTATATATTGTGCAGTTCCACTTCCAATAAAAGCTGCATCAATTGTACCATTTAATAAACTATCATATAATTGTTGTTTAGAATATAATGGATAAAAATTTGTTTGATTATTTGAAATTTCTGTTAAATAAAAGTCTTCATTAGATGTACCAACTTGAATGCCAAGACGATTAAATGGAATTTTTCCAGCTTTTATATAATCAAGTCCAGATATAAGAGATTGAGAATTTTGTATTGTTAAATCCGATGCTAAATTAGCTGTACATGATGCAACTAATACTATACTTAACATATATAAACCAGCAGTTAATAGACGACCAGGACCGGTTTGAAGATCAAAACCTGCATAACCTCCAATAAGAGTTCCATATGTATACCATACACTCATTGCACATAATGATATTATTGATTGTTCTTTTAATTCTTCATTATCTTGTCTTTCGAGTAAACAAATTATCATAGAAGAAAATAAAACAATACCTAATATTAATAACGACAAACTAGTTGAAAATGGTTTTAGAAATGCCATAAGATCAATTTTAACAGCAGGATTAGTTAGCATCAAAACACTTATTGCATTAGAAAAGAATCCTTGAGAAAAATCAACAACTTCTCTTCTTGCTGGAGTAACTGTTGTATCAGCAACAACAATATCATAAACACTAGGTATCATTCCCATAAGTCCATCATAAGTTACACCTGATGGTGCTAATTGAATGTTTGGAATAAACCCAAGATTAGCTTGTAAAAGAGAAATTAAATCTATACAATAACCAGTTAATTGTGTTTGATTTTGTCCATATTGATCAGTTACAATCTTAACCATTGTAAATGGATCTGATGGAATAACACCAATTCGTAATGTTATACCTTTAAGTTGTGCATTACCAGTAGGAATTGATAAAGATTGTCCTGGCCAAATAATTACACTATCACCTTGATATTGTTGCCAACCAGTATAATCAACATATGATAAAACTGGTACAAAACTTATATCATTTGAAGACGATCGACAATTTTGTAATAAATAATAAATTTGAATTACTAAAATAACGATCAAAACAAAATGAAGATCCAATAAATGATATACATGATAAAGAATTATTCTTATTTAATGAACAAAGTTGTTGTAATGATTGAATTAATAATCAAGTTGCATCAAATGCAAATAATGCATAAGAATTAACTTGAGTTGATCCAGGAAATGTTTCAGGTTCATATTCTTGCCAAATATTATAAGCTGCATTTAATAATGTATTATTCATTGGTGCATTAGCAACACTGGCTATAGATTGTTCTATAGTAAGTATTCCAGTTAAATTTGGATAAAATGATTGATTAAAAGAATTTAATGAAATACTTGTACTTAAAATCCACATAAATTGTGGACCAACAACACCAGCATCGAGTGCATTTTGTAAAATTAAACTTGTATAAATCGACGAAGCCCATAAAATGACAATTCGTGTTGAACTTGACATTAAAGAAGTTTTTAAATCACTTTGAAAATTAAGTGTATCTATATTGAACATTATTTGATTTACTACTGTTAAATTATTGTTATTAAATGCATTATTTATTGCATTTGAACCATCGATTCCAAATGCATCATTTTGATAAATAAGGATACATGAATTCCATTGAAATCGAAGAAATAATTTAATAAGTGCTATTGCAGCAGCACTATCCGATGGAACTGTACGATAAAAAGCAGGATAAATAATTCGATTAAATCAATCGGGATCAGTTGCAGAATACGATACTATTGGAATACCAACTTTTTCACCATATTCTGCAATTATGGGTGTTTGACTTGATAATTCTGGTCCGACAATACCAACAATATTCCAATTTGAAAGTGCTTGACACAAACTACGAACAGCATCAAGTTCACTACCATTGATTTGTGTTGATTGCCATTCAAGATATTGTCCGTCAATTGTTATATTATATTGTTGAGAAAGTATTATCATCATCATTTATAAGACTTTCAAAGAGTCCTAATAATTTTATATTCGAAGAATTTGATGAAGGCCAGTCTGCTCTTGTCGAACCGATATCAATTTGAACCAACATAATAAATAAATATAACCAGTCAACATTTTTTAATTTATGCATAGAAAATAATTGAATCGATTGTTTAACAAAATAAGTCATACTGAAATTTCAATAAGACGAATGATTGCATTTTAACCTGTATATTTATAACAACGTTCCGCGTAGGCTTGTCGCCCGTTAGGGCCAGCCGGCGTTATTATTATATTTTTCAATTTTTTCTTTTTACGGACGGTGATATGTACACCCTATCCCGTTACCTATATTATATTTTTCATTGAAAAGAAAACTATCGAAAATTTGAGCCAAAAATATATTGTTTTCTTTTAAAAATATAATATAATAAAAAGAAAATGATCATAAAATATTATTTTTCTTATTTACCAACTATGAATAACATATTCTCTTTATAATATCCTTCACTAAAATATCTCTAACAAGACAAAAATCAATTTTTTGTTCTTATACGTAAATATGTAGAGAATTAATTTAGGAAATAAATTAAATAATAACTTAATGTATACTGTAAAAGTTAGAAATGCGATTTTTTTCAACAGATTTCTTCTCTTTTAATCGACGTCATATTTACCTATTTGTCTACAATGAATAAAAAAATTATATCTTGAGCTACGCCATTATTGCTCGCACTTCAGCATAAACACTATATTAACGCTTATTAGTTGATTCAAATCAAAATATTATCACATTTTATTATCGTTACTTTCATATTTTTTCTATCTACTTATGTATTTGCGTATTGAATGATATGTTGAAAGCGTGTTCAATGAAGTATAAAATAAAGTATGAAAAAATAATGATGTTCTAATCTGATACAGAAAGAAAAAATACATTAACAAGAAATTTATCTACAACGAAAATATAGAAAGAGTAAACCTCTCGTATGGCATATAGAACAAAAATCAAGATATTCAACTTAAACACATACAATATGGATTTATTTTCTACACCAAAAAAAAAGTATTAACCTCGAACTCTTTTAAGAAGATTTGTTAGGATATGAAGATATTTCAATTACTTTATCATCAATGAATTTTATTAGAAAAACTAATAGAGTAAATAATTGATAATTATATTTTCTTGCACTTCAATCTGTTGAGATCATAAGATCAAATGATAATATCAGTAAAGTGGCTGAATCATATAAACAAATCATTTCTTATTAACATCGTTATCACTTGAGTCATAGAATATAATTAAATTATTTTTTTAGTATTAGTTATAAGAACTATATCCTATTTCACATTTTTAATCCCACCGAAATCGAGTTAGTAGTTGTTTTTTATATCGTGAAATAATAATGATAGATTTCAGATACAGTTGATTGTGATGAAAGAATACAAAAGAAAACATGAGATTGAAAAGATTAACGCTTCGTTGCTTATTTACAATAGTTTATTACACGTTATGCGTTATTTCACAAATGAAGCATATCATAAAACAATAGTAGACAAACAAACTAGAAACGACGATTGATGAAAAGAAACAGAAATTAACTGAAAAAAAAATAAAATATATTATTTCGACAATAAAGAGACTCTATCAGTTGCTTGAAGTTCTCTAAAGAGATGATATTTTACAATGAATACGAAGTTCAGTCGTCCGTTTTTTAAATATTATATTTTAACGAAGGACAATTGTATTTTATGAAAGTTCTATATAAATACAGAACATTTTTTATTGTTGTTCACATATAGAAGATTCTAATAAATCTTAGAAAAAAATGAAACATTCTCTGACAAGATCTTTGTGATTCGAGAAACTAAAATTTTACAAAGAACGTTTTATTTTGTATTAGATTTTAACTGGAATCTTTGGTTGAAAGACACCGTCATATTCTTATGTCATATATATATTTTCACATTTTGAATCAATCATATAAGAAATAAATATGAATTTGATGAAATTAAAACAAATATTCAATAATATTAAAGATGTCGAAGATTTTATTGTGAAATATACGAATAATAAAAAATTTGTTAGTCTTTTTTGGCAATTTATCATTGGATGAAATCAATCATCTCAACCAGATTGTATTTATACAAAATCAACAAATAAATATTGTTCATATACATTAATTAAATTGTTTAAAAAATTTGGTTTATTTTTGGTTCAGAAATTGCGATAATCTTTGCTGCTTTTTTTCTTTGTTTGGATGCATCTGTTGGAGTTATTCACTCCAAATATAAACTTAAATGGTCGCGAAAGAACTCTCTGACAAAATCCTTTTAGACTTTTTACGATCTCAATGTCCTGTATTCAACAATAGACGAATGAAGATAATCGAAGTTGAACACATTTGGCGGTTCTTTTGTAAGCTAACTTGTGCACAAAGGGAATAACTCAATAGACGATATATTGTGAAAAAATGAATCTATTAACATTCAACAAGAACCAGCTCGCTGGGATTTTTCCAACTAAATAATTCATTAAAAAAGAGAGAAAATAAAAACCTAGAGCGCGGGCTGACAAAAAATAACAAGAAAAGAACAGAAAAACGTCTGTGATTCTCATCGTTTCTATGGAGATTTGTTAAGATAAGCGGCATAGATTAAAGATACAAGATAATAAAAAAATACTTTTTTCTGTGTTCTATAGGCTCAGAAACACTCAACGTTTTTCTTTCCATTACTTCATTAGGAAAAAAAAGTGACGACATATTCAGAAAAAACCGAGAAATATTAAATGCAGTCATTTTTGTGCTGATTTTTTATGGTAAAGAATTTTTTTAATAATTTTTTCCTTTAATTCCAGTCGGCTAGAATGTTTCTTTTCTTTTACACGTAATACAGCTAACCTTTTTATTATTAGCGTTCGTGTTGATTCATTCGAACTGTAAATGAAGACTAGCATGTCCATTCTAGTCTAACTGGTCTAGGATAGCAGAAAGTATGTGATTTGAGTTATTCGAGGGGCAACTTTTTTCTTTTATTCTATTATATTCAATCAGTGACAACTTCTAGTCAACGGCTCTATACCTACGGAAGCTAACATTTATCTTTTTGCAAAATTCAATCAAGCACATATATTTTTTTAACTTCTGATGTATGTAGATAGAATTAGTTTTTCTTTATTATTCCATTAAATGTGGTCATTTATTATTATCTCTTATTTTATATTGATATTAATAATTAATTAAAATTCGTGACGTTTCGTATCCCGATGAGATACTTCTTCAGACATTAAATTCATGACAAACGCATTAACATATACAACTAAAATAGCTTTTTTTCTTTTCTCTTTCCTTTCATTATTAGTTATTGCTAATGATACGGGGAAGGATTATATCTCTATCTAGCTATTACTATTACCGTCTTGTTTTCCGCATCACTATCAACGACTAATAAGGAAAGGAAATAGAGAAAATAAAAGCTATTTTACTTGTATATGTTAAAGAGTTTGTCATAAATTTAATGTCTGAAGCATCTCATCGAGATACGAAACGTCACGAATTTTTAATTAATTGTTAATATCAAATAAAATAAAAGAAGAGAATTTAAATATGTCAAATATCAATTTAATCTTCTTATTAAGATAATAGAAGTTCTTTGTTTTAATACCAGTACATTAATTCGTGTTACACATGAGACACTATGACTGCGATCTAGAACGCTTTGGTAGGAAAGTTTTTTTTTCGCCTTTATCTCCCATAAAGTTAGCCGTTTTGTCCTACATAAGTAATAAGTTAATAGTAACTGTCAAATTTTCGTGTACCATTATATAGATAATTGTCGATTATTTTACTTCTCAATCAGAGTAATAGTTCTACCTATTTTTCCATTTTAATATAACAAAATCACTATTTTCCTGCTAACAACTCAAAATAAGCGTAGCCTTTATCAATTTTATGAAACGAAATACATATTTATGAGAGTAACTTTGATATAGCAACTGTATATTTTGTACTCTTCTTTTCAGAAATAATATTTCATTCTGCACTGTCCAAGTAGTCAGTCTGCTTACATAAATCGCTGTTTGTCGGTAGAGAATATTCTTGTTTTTTCGTTTCGTGGCGAGGGTGTGGGTGTGAGTTTACGTGTGGGTACGGGTATGGGTACGGGTGTAGATATTGTATTAATCATACATCTATACCCACGCTCTTAAGAGAGCTGCTCTTCTATCATATCTACACCGGCACCCTCAAGAATTGTCAACACATTACATTGAATCAGTATTTATGTT